TAGGCGAAATGTCAGGTAAACTGATCTGGTCATTCTGTGTTGGGGTATACACAAACGTGGGACGTGCGCGTAGTCTAGCTGATATTAACGCAGGATGTAGAACTGGTGTGTCGAGTTACAATTTCAGTCAAAGCTGGTTAATTCCTCCACTTTTTCCTTTTTAGGAGCTCCAGACTTCTGTGGATCATAGGGCCTTAACACGCTAGATTTGCTGTTGCGTATTCTGTAGACAGTAGGCCTATACGATGGGAATTTGCCAGCCCCACACTCAACTGGTTTTCAGATTAGAGTTCCCTCGTCTCCTAGACTGGTTGATAACCAAGGCTTAAAAGCCCAGTTTGATTTCTTATTTAACCTATAGGCGGGGACGAAGAAATAATTCCCCTTTTCTAACGTTTATTTGTGCGAAAGTGAGCACAATGATCTCAGTCAGAACTCGAACTTGCTTTATTGATAACTCTTTCCGCGCCCGATAAACTTATGCGAACACTCTTGGAAAGATATATGCATTCATCTCTTCTCTCCCGCAGCTAGGGGTTAAATAACAGACCAGACTGAACTCTCTGTTTTTGGTTTACAGTCAGTTCAAGAGAAGGACAACTTTGAATTCAAAATTAGTTACGGGTGGGGCTGGCAATTCCATCACATAAAAAAAAATGAGTGACTTGATACGGAAATAATAGCATCAACACCAAGCGTGATATGGCTGTAGTCCTATACACCAGAGAAGAATATACAGGGCCGACAAATACGCGTGTCTGGTTTCACTCTTAGAAGCAAATAGGTTTCAACTCATTGTATCTTACACAGGGAAATACAGGGTGTACATAAAGTCTCTTTACAAATAAAAAAATATTGCAAAAGCAAATGAACAAACAAATTTGTGGAAACTGATACAAAATGAAGAGTAGATAATGAAGTTGTTTTTTTAAATAATTTAATTCCCCTTTATATAGGCACCATTAGTTGCCCGAAGCACACCAAGACGGTATTCGATTTCTTGCCATGTTCCTTGTAGCATCGCATCACGGTGGCAATGGCATTAGGGATTTTTTGCTTTAGATAAGTGATGATACACGAAGTCTTTAACATAACCCCGAAGTGGCCAGGGAATTGGGCCACCCCTTCCAATCCATCGGTCTGGAAATGCTAGGGGTTCATTTAACAGTGCCACTTTCATCAACAGAATACCTGAAATACACAAATCCATTGTGATTAAAATTTGGATAAGTACTGAGCACATAAAACAAATCTTATTAAGATATCTCAACAATTGCCTTTGCAATAGATTTTTTAAATTGTAAAGAGACTTTAGGGACAGCCTGTATTGTCAAGTCTAAAGCTGCTCTGATTTTTCTACTTCTCAACCCGGTATCTATGCTGATGACACATCTATTCATTACTTTCTTAATGATGAGTCGGATCAGTTTGATAAGGTCAAATTGGCAGTTGAACTAAAAAAAATGAATCACAGTCTGTTGATAACTGGAGCAAGGAATGGCTTGTTAATTTTAACGCATCCGAAACGAAACTATTCTCCGAAAAATATATATAGTCATCCACACACAAATTGTTTCGCTGTATCACAGCTCCTCAGCGAGGATCGAAACCCGACCGATTTGGAGTTTCTAATCCATCATCACTCGGCAGAGAGAAAGACCTAATTCTAGCGTTTTGTTTTTCCGAATGCAAACAAGCGACAGTCAGCCAGAGTGCTCCAATTCATTTCATTAATAATCTGAGACCTCCTTTTGCCCTTTATCAGCATGGCTGATGCTAACCACCAGGAGAGCAACCAAATGCGCCTTCTCGGTCTAAAGTTTTTCGCTGACATGAAGTGGAAAGATTATATTGAATTACTTGCCAGGTATGCTGCTAAGACAATTGGTTCACTTCGTTGACTAGACTATTTTTCTCGACATAATCTATCTTACATATTTATAAGTCTACTAGGCGTCCATGCATTGAATATTACTGTCACATTTGGTACGATGCTTCTGCTATGCATTTAGAAATCTTTGATAGAATACATAGAATAATCAATTTGCATTGCATTTCAATTTTCACAGAGAAAATCCAACTGAAAAGAACCTAGAAGAGGTGTTCTCCAAGCGAGAAGTACGAGAAAAGAGACTGTTAGCATAGAAGTTAGGGTTGCATTTAGCCATTTCAGCTGTAAAATGATGAGAACTAGCTGCCAATCTAGTACAGCGTTTAAATTCGTAAAATCTAGATACAATAGAGGAAAGCTTATTTGAATACTGCTGACCTGAGATGGAACAAATGCATTGAGTCAATTGCTTCGTCCACCGCAAGGAAAGTTGACTCCCTGTGCCGCGCCAGGAAATTTTTCTCACCGGAATCGATCCTCCAGATCTACAAATCAACAATTCGCCCTTGCATGGAGTATTGCTACCATATATGGTCTGGAGCCCCTTCTGTTTGCCTCGGGGTTCTTGATAAGATCCAGTGGCGGATATGCAATATAAATGGCCCTGTTCTGGCATCTCGTCTACAGTCGCTCTCTCACAGACGTACAGTCGCCTCTCTCTGTCTTTTTTACAAATACTTTTCATGGTAATTGCTCCAAGGAGCTGCATTCGCTGGTTCCCAGAATTCAAGCGCCCTACGAGGCTGGCATCCCGCTCTCACCCTTTCGCTGTCGAAACTACTAAATGTAGCCGTCTCTTCTACTCTAATAGCTTCATGTCTCGCACCTCTCGCCTGTGGAAGTCCTTTCCCTATTCCAGTTTCCCTAAGAGCTATAATTTCCAACTATTCAAATGTAATGTCAATCGACATCTCCAGTTGCCTTGATCTATCCACTATTCTTCTCCTCATGCTTTCTTCTATCACTCCTATCTGATCTTGCTCCAAATCTTCTGTAACCCCTTGCGTCCTAGTGGCTTCCCGCCTCGCTTAGGGTGAAACGCTTAAAAAAAATAATTACTACGACAATATTTATAGAAAAGTTACAGAGAAGCTACGTTACAGTGGTGGAAAAGTAACTGAATCCGAGATGCCAGGTTAGTAACAATACCATCACAGATTCTTCTCTGTATTAACTTAACGGGGACTGTGTGTACGGTAAGTGGATATGAGTGTGTTTGATATGTTTCCGAGATTAAATGAGATTCCAGCGACCGAGATTGTACAATTCAACTGATAAATTACAACCGATGCACAATCACGTATCTGCTCTATCAATCAAATTCGATCGCGTTGTTAAAGCTGTTAAGCTAAAATATTTAACGATGTGACAGGGGGATTTCTACGGATAGTTTATTGTCATAGAACTCGCCATGAGCTTATTCCATGATTGACTGAAGAATTAAGAATCATCAGAAATTCAAACGATGCTATTTTCACGGGTTTTATGGGCACGTGGCCGAGCAGTTAAAACGTTCGCTTTCTGACCATTCGGGTTTCGAATCTCATCAGAAAGGTAACTTCTTTACACTATCAGTCCGGAGGAGGCGAACGCAGCGTACGGAACCTTTGGAAAGTTCCTGAAGACCATACCACGGGTTGATCCAAGCATTGTGGGTGAAATTGGGTAGACGGAACACTTGCGGAGACGTCGATGGTTGTGCTAGTACGAAATCACAATGTCATCATGACTGAGGGTTCGAGCGTGCTGGCCGTGTTCAGACTGTTGGTCAAACTAGATAACACGCTCTCTCCCAGAAACTGTAACTAATGTCCGCTCATCATAGCTGCAGTATAAACCGCAGGTAGGCTTGTTGAATAAACACAAATGTGCCTGAGCAGGCTTCTGCAACGGGGATTAGCTAGCCACCCCACTAGACGAGCATCTTCGGATACAAATGGCCAACCACTATTATTATTATTAGTAGTAGTAGTAATAGTAGTATTCGTTCCTTCCTTATTTAGCACGTACGCTATACACTACCGATACATAATAAATAATGAACTATTCCGGTTTGATCGCGAGGAAAAGTGGAAAAATTTGATCAGAGACGCTGTTTGGTTTCTGCAGTATCTCATCCTCGTCGCCAAAGTTGTTATGGAGTAGTTTCACCGTGGAGGCTTGTATTTCACTAAGTCGGTCCTAAAAAGGTTCGACGTACAAAACGTTAGGAACTTGAGATAATAGTTAATGACGCAGCAATCTAGTTGTGGTGGCTGATACTTTAATGTCCGACATCGACTGACTCACCAACTCACTGGCGACTGCTACTACTACTACTTATTATATGTGGGAGAGTCTGTTAACAATAGAATAGGTATGTTCCAGTATAACAGTTTCAACGAAAGAAAGAAAGAAAGAAAGAAAGAAAATGTAAAAGAAATCATCAATTTCAAACCTTTTCATTTGTACCCTCTTTCTTCTTAAATAATGACCTACTTTCATATTTATTATTGTTTTTTAACATTTTGTAAACGTTAAGATAGGGGAATTTCTACGAGTGTTTTATTATCGTAGATAATGCAATTATTTACCTAAGTGTTAAGACTCATCAGAAAATTCGTATAGGAAAACCGTGAAATATTCACGGGTCGTTCAAGTTCTTAATAAATACAATTCTATTTGTTCGTTTAAAGAAAAAAGAAAAACGCTATTTCATAACTGACTCTACCAGATTACCCCCACAGATGACATGGTTATAATGGTGCAGATTTAAGGAGAACCAGCAACACATTACGAAAGTACTGCAAGGAACGGTTCACAGTACACAACGAAATTTCTAGTCAGTACTCCACATGTTTGAATTTAGAGTTTTCATTCTCTTATCATGCGTTGCCAATCAAAGCGAGAGAGCCCAGTCCGTGTTGTTATTTAATCCATAGATTGGACGGGAGCGGAGATAGGTCTTTAATTGTATTTAATTCATTAATATTTGTCTCATTAATATTTTTCTTGTGATAACTTCCGGTTGTATTTAATTCGAAAAATAAACGCTGGAAGCACTGCACGAATACGAACTCGGCTATTACACTTTCCGAATCACTATCCATTACACCACCGGCACACACATATGCACGTCCCTTCATACGATTCTATTCTATATTCTTTTTTTTTTCTTTCTTTGCTCACGCTAGACACTGAATTGTACGTAGGACCAATTAAAAGCGTTGATGAGGATGACGGAAGTGGGTCAGTACTCTAAAATATAGGGATCTCACCAGAAAATTATTATTGCTATATACAATACTTCAAAATGTTTTGGAAATGTTTTTGAGGCTAAGTAATGTAGAAGCACTAATATTAAAACTGTCAATTCTTGATAATTTTTTGACCTATAAGGCTTATATATATTTAGTTCAATATGAAAAATAAAATGAATGATACAAATAAAATGGTTTGACTTTGGCATTAAGTAACACAAGTGTTGACATTTCGTCTAATCAGCCGACAAACGTTTTTCTTTCTCTCTTTTTTCCTTTTCTTTTTCTTTTTTTTTCCTTGTCTTTCATTTTGCTTCCATGTTTCTTCACGTCTTTGATCTCTTCTTTTGTGTTTTCTTTCTTTCTTTCTTTCTTTCTTTCTTTCTTTCTTTCTTTCTTCCCTGTTTCTTTCTTTCTTTGATCTCTCCTTTCTTCTTGCTTGTTTCTTTATTTCTTTGCTTTTTCTTTTCCTTCTTTTCTTCCGTCCTTCCTTCATCTCTCCATTCTTGTTTCTTTTCTTTTGTCTCTTTATTTCTTTCTTCTTTATTTCTTTCTTCTTTATTTCTTTCTTTTGTCTCTTTATTTCTTTTTTCTTTATTTCTTTCTTCTTTGCGTCTTTTTTCTTTGATCTCGCTTTTTTCTTTCTTCTCTTTTTTCTTCCCCTTTTTCTTTCTTTCAATTCTTCCTTATTCTTTTTCTTTCTTTCTGTCTTTCTATCTAACTTTGTCTGTTTTCTTCCTTGCTTCTTTTTGTCTTTCTTCCTCTCTACGTTTCATTCCATCCTTTCCTTTTCCTGTTCTACCTTGCATCCATGCTCGCTTCTTCCTTCCTCCCTTAATAATTTATTTATTTATTTCTGCAAACAGACAAATCGAATATGCTTTTATTTACATAATCCTCTTCCTATTTAAAACGAGGGAAAAACTTCTTGTGCGAATGTCACGATGTAAATATTTGGTTAAATGGAGGCACAAAGTCACTGCATGTCATAATCAATAAGTTGAGATTGAACCCACTTTCAATGCTTTGAACACTTTCAAGGCCAGTGTGAGTTACAGTGTGTGGTCATCTTGTAAGGCATGATTTAAAAAGCAAACATCTTATGAATTATAAGTGTATATTAGCCGAACGAACACACGCAAAAGACGAGCTCGCTGTATTGACAACCTGGTTGTACAAGCAGTAGATTCACAAGCTGCTGCTACAGAACACAACTAGATGCGAACAAAAGTTCATATTATATATATAGAAGAATCTTTGCGGAATTTGATTGGATTCATCAAGCTGTTCGCCTGTCAAGTTATTCAGTTTTTCTAGACATATGAAACATCGCACGAAATTACCCCACCAGAAAATAAAGTACTTTCTTTATGTAAGAAGTGATTTTCGCGCAATTCCTTACGGCAACTCTTGGGAACACACACACGCACACACATATACACGCACACAGATATACACATTCACAAAAACACACGCACACGCACACGCGCGCGCACACACACACACACACACACACATATATATATATATATATATATATATATATATGAATTAAGATCAAATATAGATCAAATATGCATTGCAATCCGACAGAATGATAGGATGTTAGGATAAAGAATAAATATGAAACGTTTATCAATCAAGATTGATAAACATTACCTTTTGTTTGTTCTTTATCACACAAACACACACACACACACACATATATATATATATATATATATATATATATATATATATATTATGAAATGGATTAAATCCGACATATTTTAATTTGTTTTGCTTAAACGTTTTTTTAGATGGATATTCATATTTGAGTATATGCTCTCTTTATTTAGATAAACAGTATTTTTATTTAATTACATTTACCGGCCTAAATATTTAAGAAATCTTGCCAGAAAACATGCGTCCTCTGGCAAGATTCGAACTTGTATCCTTAGAAGGAACCGTCATTAGATATGATGTGCTAAACAGATTCGGTTGTGTAGGACTTCCAATTAAACAAAACACTCAGGCTATCAGTGAGGGATAATATGTATATTTATTAATCATACTCTCTCTCTTTCTCTCTCTCTCTCTCTCTCTCTATCTATCTATCTATCTATATATATATATATATATATATATATGTATATATATGTGTGTGTGTGTGTGTGATCTTCAAAGTAATACTTATATAACACAATCATCTACAAAGAAAACAAATTATAATTTAAGAACCCGCATCTACAAATGTATATAAATCGCACACACACACACATCACTTTTTCTACGTCACAACCCTTTTTGCCTGTGTGTGTATATGTGTGTATATCTCTTTGTGTAAAAATTCAGATATAACTATAAATAAAGTATATCTCTAAAAGTACAATATGAAACGCACAGTTGAATAGCATTTCTAGTTTCGCCTATCACCACTTTTGTCCATCGTACTAACACACACACATGTATATATACCGTATTTGACAGCAGATAAGACGATTTTTTTTTAAATAAGAATATCTTTTAAAATTCCCCTGCGTCTTACATGGCAACTCCTATTAGCTTAAACTTTAGAGTATCTTTCATATACATTTTGTCATTATTTAAAAGGCTATTATGCAGATTAAAAGTGTTATCATTGATAATATCCATTATATTAATTTCATCTCGCTTAATATTAGTACTTTGTTTCACTAAAATTATATGCAATAAATTCAAATTATATATTTGTAAAATATATCTGTATCATTAATATTTTTCTTGCGATAACTTCAGTTGCATTGATATAAATACAATCAGAATTTTTATAGCCTATTTATTCTACTAAGATATTTACAAGACACAGGTTGTACAAATCATATAAGGGAACATTTTTGACTGAATTTTAATGGTAGCTGTTCTGTTTTGCTCAATTGTAATAACTGCTTGATTTTTATTTTGTTTTCTTACCTTTGGATATAATAAAGTTTTTATAGACTCGTCTTATTTCTTTTCCATTATTTTTCATTTTTTTCTTGATTTGCCCTGCTGAAGTTTGGATGCGTCTTATACACCCGTGCGACTTATATGCCGTCAGATACGATATATATGTTTGTATGTGTGTGTGTGTGTGTGATGAACTATTTCCTACTCTATAACACCTTTCCCACACACAAAGCATCGCATTCCGCCCCCCCCCTCTATCGCTGTTTGTCTGGCAAATGTTATGACCTGCTACAGACATAAGCTCCAGCAGTTCTGACATTCAGACCACAGTGTTAAGCACCACCATGCCACGTACACAAGAGTGAATCACCCCCCGTTCTCTTCGTATTCAATTAGTAAGGTGGAGGTTTCAATCGAACAGCTTCGTCCCCATAACCACTGCTTCATGGGACAGATTCCCGAGAAGAAACTCCCCTGATCACAACTATTTAGGGTCAACCGTTACGTTTCTAGAATCTTCAAGTCTACTGTCAACCGTTACGTTTCTAGTGTCTTCAAGTCTAGGGTCAACTGTTACCTTTCTAGAGGCCTCAAGTCTACTGTCAACCGTTATCTTTCTAGAGTCTTCAAGTCTACTGTCAACCGTTAACTTTCCAGAGTCTGCGAGTCTAGGGTCAACCGTTACCTTTCTAGAGTCTGTGAGTCTACTGTCAACCGTTACGTTTCTAGAGTTTCGAGTCTAGGGTCAACTGTTACCTTTCTAGAGTCTTCAATCTACTGTCAACCGTTACCTTTCTAAAGTCTACAAGTCTAGGGTCAACCGTTATCTTTCTAGAGTCTTCAATCTAGGGTCAACCGTTACGTTTCTAGAGTCTTCATGTCTAAGGTCAACTGTTATCTTTCCTACATAACCTCGTAATATGCATTTCTTACCTCCTCCTCTTACTTGCATAAAAATAACTCATTCAGTAATCCTCTAGCTTAAGTGACCCTTGGGTCTTCTTTAGGGCGAAAAATAAGCCAGAAAAAATATTGGATAGAAAGAGGGAGAAAAAGTATTCTTGGAATTTCAAAGACTTTTGAAGATACAAAAAATTCTAATATTTATGTTCCAAAATAAGTTCTATCGATGTCTGCAAACTTTGCTTGATGACGTTTGGGGAATTCTAATCCGATGTGACTAGAATAAATTTGCAGACATTAAAATGAGACCATTTTCTCGGCAAGGGAAGAGACAGGCTAATATATAATGTGTTAAAAAAAAAAGAGGGATGCGCTAATCTTTAAATTACGCAAAACTGTATGGGAAACAACGCACCGCTGCACGCACACAAGCACTATTTTTTCTCTCTTCAATTTCCTAGACTCTCTTTCCCTCTGTTTCTCTGATCCACATTATCGCTCTCACACACATGGGCGATCATGAACGCACACTGATTTAATACTATCTCTCTGTTTCGTTATTTTTCTCACACACTTTCTATCTCCTCCCTTTAACGAACTCTCTCTTTCTTTTTTTTTTGACCGACTATACGATTAATTTCTGAATCCTCTCTAAAACATATTTTCTAACGTTGTCACATATATTGGAAAAACACTGATTGAATAAGGAAAATATATTTCTGGGTATGGCGATAAATTACATCGGGAGGCTTTGAGGAGCGTGGAACCACCTCTGAAGTGGTGTTGTTCCCAGATCCAACCTGATACGGGGTAGTACATATTAGTGTACCAGCTATGTGTAAATAGTGACCCCCACCCAAAAAATATCTACGAAAATATAAAAATACATTTCAATGGTACATATCCAACCAATACATTTTTATGTAATAATTATCAATAAGTAAAAATACCAATACATTTTTTATAAATGTAAACTATTTAAAATACATATTACTATAAATTTACCAATAATATATATTTATAATAAAAATAACCAACTTAATATTCTTAAGCAAAATGACCAGCAAAACATTTATAGGAGAATTACCAATAATACATTTTATAGCAAAATGACTTAACAGTGCATTTTATCTGTAGTTTAACCTTAGAAAACTAACCATCAATTAATGTTACACCACTACTAACCATGAGTATATCATACCCAATTTTGAAAATATCAAAAAAAATATTAAATATAAATCTTTATTTGAAATATTTTACATGCAGGCACTTCAAACATTGTACTTTGAGTTAACATTAATAGGAACTGAAAAACATATTATTTAGGTAAGAAAATCAGGTAGTGAAAATTGTAATTAAAAATAGGAAAAATTGCGCTGGGTACTATATACTCATGGTTAGTGTTCTAGGGTTAAGGCATATGTGTTTAAAGTATAATTAGTTGAAGCTATAAAATTGTGTTGAAAATATTTAGATTTCGACATTAAATAAAGCATAGAGGTATTGATATGTTGATAAACAACATTTTAAATAATAAGGAAAAGAATGAACCTTAAAATAATAAAACTTATTCAGACTTGAAATTCAATGATCTTCTATATAATAAATGCGAATGTCAGTGTATCACTGGGTCACACTTTTTCAATTAAAGGGACACAACTTTTTAACTTTCAATAGCGTGTCTTCTTTTTTATAATAAATGCGAATGTCAGTGTATCACTGGGTCACACTTTTTCAATTAAAAGGACACAAATTTTTAACTTTCAATAGCGTGTCTTCTTTTTTATAATAAATGCGAATGTCAGTGTATCACTGGGTCACACTTTTTCAATTAAAGGGACACAACTCTTTAACTTTCAATAGCGTGTCTTCTTTTTTATAATAAATGCGAATGTCAGTGTATCACTGGGTCACACTTTTTTCAATTAAAGGGACACAACTTTTTAACTTTCAATAGCGTGTCTTCTTTTTTATAATAAATGCGAATGTCAGTGTATCACTGGGTCACACTTTTCAATTAAAAGGACACAACTTTTTTCAATTTCAATAGCGACTTCTTTTTTTTACAATGTCAGTTTTCACACTTTTTCAATTAAAAGGGACTTTTCAATAGCGTGTCTTCTTTTTTTATAATAAATGCGAATGTCAGTGTATCACTGGGTCACACTTTTTCAATTAAAGGGACACAACTTTTTAACTTTTCAATAGCGTGTCTTCTTTTTATAATAAATGCGAATGTCAGTGTATCACTGGGTCACACTTTTTTCAATTAAAGGGACACAACTTTTTAACTTTCAATAGCGTGTCTTCTTTTTATAATAAATGCGAATGTCAGTGTATCACTGGGTCACACTTTTTTCAATTAAAGGGACACAACTTTTTTTAACTTTCAATAGCGTGTCTTCTTTTTTTTATAATAAATGCGAATGTCAGTGTATCACTGGGTCACACTTTTTCAATTAAAGGGACACAACTTTTTAACTTTCAATAGCGTGTCTTCTTTTTTATAATAAATGCAGATGTCAGTGTATCACTGGGTCACACTTTTTCAATTAAAGGGACACAACTTTTTAACTTTCAATAGCGTGTCTTCTTTTTTTAATAATAAATGCGAATGTCAGTGTATCACTGGGTCACACTTTTTCAATTAAAAGGGACACAACTTTTTAACTTTCAATAGCGTGTCTTCTTTTTTTATAATAAATGCGAATGTCAGTGTATCACTGGGTCACACTTTTTCAATTAAAGGGACACAATTTTTTAACTTTCAATAGCGTGTCTTCTTTTTATAATAAATAAATCAGTGTATCATGGGTCACACTTTTTCAATTAAAAGGACACAACTTTTTTAACTTTCAATAGCGTGTCTTCTTTTTTTTATAATAAATGCGAATGTCAGTGTATCACTGGGTTTTTTCAATTAAAGGGACACAACTTTTTAACTTTCAATAGCGTGTCTTCTTTTTTTATAATAAATGCGAATGTCAGTGTATCACTGGGTCACACTTTTTCAATTAAAGGGACACAACTTTTTAACTTTCAATAGCGTGTCTTCTTTTTTAATAAATAAATGTCAGTGTATCACTCAGGTCAATTAAAAAACACAATCACTGGGTCACACTTTTTCAATTAAAGGCGTGTCTTCTTTTTACAATGTCAATCACTTTTTTTCAATTAAAGGGACACAACTTTCAATAGCGTGTCTTCTTTTTTATAATAAATGCGAATGTCAGTGTATCACTGGGTCAATAGCGTTTCAATTAAAGGGACACAACTTTTTAACTTTCAATAGCGTGTCTTCTTTTTATAATAAATGCGAATGTCAGTGTATCACTGGGTCACACTTTTTTTTTTCAATTAAAAGGACACAACTTTTTAACTTTCAATAGCGTGTCTTCTTTTTTTATAATAAATGCGATGTCAGTGTATCACTGGGTCACACTTTTTCAATTAAAGGGACACAACTTTTTTAACTTTCAATAGCGTGTCTTCTTTTATAATAAATGCGAATGTCAGTGTATCACTGGGTCACACTTTTCAATTAAAGGACACAACTTTTTAACTTTCAATAGCGTGTCTTCTTTTTTTATAATAAATGCAATGTCAGTGTATCACTGGGTCACACTTTTTCAATTAAAGGGACACAACTTTTTAACTTTCAATAGCGTGTCTTCTTTTTATAATAAATGCGAATGTCAGTGTATCACTGGGTCACACTTTTTCAATTAAAGGGACACAACTTTTTAACTTTCAATAGCGTGTCTTCTTTTTATAATAAATGCGAATGTCAGTGTATCACTGGGTCACACTTTTTCAATTAAAGGGACACAACTTTTTAACTTTCAATAGCGTGTCTTCTTTTTTATAATAAATGCGAATGTCAGTGTATCACTGGGTCACACTTTTTCAATTAAAGGGACACAACTTTTTAACTTTCAATAGCGTGTCTTCTTTTTTATAATAAATGCGAATGTCAGTGTATCACTGGGTCACACTTTTTCAATTAAAGGGACACAACTTTTTAACTTTCAATAGCGTGTCTTCTTTTTTTATAATAAATGCGAATGTCAGTGTATCACTGGGTCACACTTTTTTCAATTAAAGGGACACAACTTTTTAACTTTCAATAGCGTGTCTTCTTTTTTATAATAAATGGGACACAACTTTTAACTTTCAATGCGTGTCTTCTTTTTTTATAATAAATGCGAATGTCATCACTGGGTCACACTTTTTCAATTAAAGGACACAACTTTTTAACTTTCAATAGCGTGTCTTCTTTTTAAATAAATGCGAATGTCAGTGTATCACTGGGTCACACAATTAAAAGGGACACAACTTTTTTTCAATTAAAGGGACACAACTTTTAACTTTCAATAGCGTGTCTTCTTTTTTTATAATAAATGCGAATGTCAGTGTATCACTGGGTCACACTTTTTTCAATTAAAGGGACACAACTTTTTAACTTTCAATAGCGTGTCTTCTTTTTTTATAATAAATGCAATGTCAGTGTATCACTGGGTCACACTTTTTCAATTAAAGGGACACAACTCTTTAACTTTCAATAGCGTGTCTTCTTTTTTATAATAAATGCGAATGTCAGTGTATCACTGGGTCACACTTTTTCAATTAAAGGGACACAACTCTTTAACTTTCAATAGCGTGTCTTCTTTTTTTTTATAATAAATGCGAATGTCAGTGTATCACTGGGTCACACTTTTTCAATTAAAGGGACACAACTTTTAACTTTCAATAGCGTGTCTTCTTTTTTTATAATAAATGCGAATGTCAGTGTATCACTGGGTCACACTTTTTCAATTAAAGGGACACAACTTTTAACTTTCAATAGCGTGTCTTCTTTTTTTATAATAAATGCGAATGTCAGTGTATCACACTTTTTTCAATTAAAGGGACACAACTTTTAACTTTCAATAGCGTGTCTTTCAGTGTATCAATGGGTCACACTTTTCAAAAAGGGACACAACTCTTTAACTTTCAATAGCGTGTCTTCTTTTTTATAATAAATGCGAATGTCAGTGTATCACTGGGTCACACTTTGTCAATTAAAAGGACACAACTCTTTAACTTTCAATAGCGTGTCTTCTTTTTTATAATAAATGCGAATGTCAGTGTATCACTGGGTCACACTTTTTCAATTAAAGGGACACAACTTTTTAACTTTCAATAGCGTGTCTTCTTTTTTATAATAAATGCGAATGTCAGTGTATCACTGGGTCACACTTTTCAATTAAAAGGGACACAACTTTTTATTTCAATAGCGTGTCTTCTTTTTATAATAAATTAAAGGGACATTTTTAACTCAATAGTGTCATAATAAATGCTGTCAGGTATCACTGGGTCACACTTTTTTCAATTAAAGGGACACAACTTTTTAACTTTCCATAGCGTGTCTTCTTTTTTATAATAAATGCGAATGTCAGTGTATCACTGGGTCACACTTTGTCAATTAAAGGGACACAACTTTTTTTTCAACTTTCAATAGCGTGTCTTCTTTTTTATAATAAA